GCATCACACCTGATTGGATTGATACCTATTGTACTGCAATGACATGATAGTACTATAGGGTAATTGATAGAAAAATCGTAGTATCAGCAAGCATAAACGATTTTTGGTTTTCAGTGATCCTAAGCGAACATGTTAAACATGCGATAAATGTAAAGCTGTAAAACATAGACTACCATGCATAAACTAAAACGTAACGATTATTGATACTGGCAAGAAAACAAAGCAGACCAAGTAAATAACAAGAGAATTAAACAGAAAGCACAATTGGATAGAAGATCCTGAGGATGAGGTTATTAATGTAGGTGGAGTATGCTAATCTACTTCGAGTGTTTATCAAACTGCAAACATTCTAATCCCTAGACAATGAACTTCTAATACTAGTCAATCCAATCTCTTGGCAGAAACTATCAAGTTTACAACACTTCCTAATCTCAATTCTCATTGATGAAACATGCAGTAAACAGGCATAAAGAAACAGCTCATTAATATCAATAAACATCTTAGACAACCAATCTCTTGGGCTAAGCATGTAAATCTCTGGCACTAGTTGGTTCAGACATTTCATCATATATCTTTCGGGTATGAAATGTCTATGACCCAGTTCCAATTGATCAGAGAAAAACTAGCTAATAAAACTCTAGTACAGAAGGGAAACAAAACGAATCTAACATAAACACTCTAGCAAACTAACATCTTCCACCTAATTTATCCCATCCTCAAGAACCCTAACACTACTCGGACGCAGAAATCATGTTAAACATCATGAAACAAGAATCGTTCAAAACATGCATAATAATAAAGATGACAGGAAGAGTAACAACAATGATTCAAGAACTAACTGCAAAGTATCAATAACTCAAAAGAAATCTCGATTACAATTCTCAGGATCGTTTGGTGGCTAACAACAAAAACCTAATAAAAACTCGATCCCTTGGGCAATCCAAATGAGACCTATTTATAACAATGTTTGGGAAAACCTTAAAACATAAAACGACAACGTAAAAGCGGTTTAAAAGTTGTAATGGTCATGTCGGTCGAGTGAGCGTGTCGAGTAACACTTAATTTCTTCTCTGCATCATTTCATACTCGACCGTGTTCCTCGAGTGATCATGTCGAGTGACCTGTGAAACCATCAGCTGCTTCTTTGCTTTGCTCGATCATGTCACTCGAGTGAGTGCATCGAGTGACAGGTGGTTCTGCTTCGCTTCCCTTCTGCTCGATCAGCTACTCGATCGTATACGTCTGCTGCTCACTCGATCGTCGATGTAATTGCAACGCATCCTTGCTTCTCACTTGATCGTCCCACTCGATCGTGTGCATGTCAAGTAACGCTTGTTCCTCTGCTTCGCTCTGCATGTCTCCTAAGTACATGAAACACTCTAAATATGCACAATGTATGCAAGATATGCATGATATGCATAAAGCCTACTTAAGTATGTAAAACATGCAGAAAGGGATCAATATGATGCGAATCAACAAGTGAATGATGCTGAAAAGATGATGAATGCATGCTCAAAAAGCGATGAAATACAGACTTATCAGGTCTCATATTTCGCATCATATTCAAAATAAGGAATTCCAGATGGGCAGTCATCATACACTGCTTCTTCCTCCTCCTCTTACTCAGATTTAGACCTTGCATCATCGCTGTCTTCTCCACTCTCCACCTCATTTATCTGATATCCTTCTCCATCGTCGCTTCCCTTTTTAACATCTACCAAGTATCTTAGCAGCATCTCATATTCAGTTTCACAAGAACTACTTTTCACATTTGACTCCTTGGTTTGCAAACCTACATCACAAACACTCTTCTCCTCCAACACTGATGATATTAGACCAGCCAAGTAACCCACATTACCTAGTATCACAGAGGGTGAACCTTTCTCAACTGTATCAATCGTGTTTTGGATATCTTCCAGTAACCCAATAGCTCTTTGATCTCTAACAAACTTCTCTTCCAAAACAACGTTTTTATCGATGTCTCTGATGCACACAAACAAGTTCATTGATTTATCGCCCAAACATAGAGACCTAGAGCATCTAAATTGTATATCGTCTCCAATCAACATTGGTCCAGGCGGAGTGCCATTCAGGTCAGCTAGCTTTTCCATAAACATATCGCTCAACTCCAAACTTTTCATATTCACCACCCTCAGACATCTCCCCGGTTTGCAAGTGTCCATCTTGAACTCCCATTCACCTAAGTTGTACAGTATCCACCGCCCACTTCGTACCACCATAGCATCATCGACACCATCCACTACAATTTCACTATACACAAGCATTAGTACATGCATATGACTATGTATATCCCAAAGAAAATAGTAAAAAGCTCTAAACCTCTTTTGCGTACCTTCCATTGTTAATTAAGCTCCTCTAATCTGCTTTTTCTCTCCAACCTTTTCCCAATGTAAGAAGCTCGAAATATCACTGATGTGGATCCATCTCCAAATTTTTACCCCCTATTTCTTCATATTGTAGCTTTCTCGTGAATCCATGACTAACCAAACGAGATTGTCCACATCACCATTCATTTCGATATCAACCAGTGATCTACAGTCGCCGCCGGTACCAGAGAAGGAAGAGCCATGCTCGATTTACCTAATGTTACCAAACTCCAAATGCACAAGCGTCGAACGCTTAATGGGCCTTTTCCTTTTTAACGGCCCAAATGTCTATATTTTTCTACCCTCTATTCTCTCTTTCACTCGTCCACACGCAGAACCGAGAATCCATATACGTAAGCCCTTTTTGGTAACTCTCCCCAAACGTCTCATGGCCCACAACCAAGCCTATCTCACAACCCCTCTATTAGACAAATAGTAAAAACACACTACTCTCACAATTACAAATAGTAATTGTACTACTCATCTAAATAAGTTTCAAAAACGTACTAAATAGCCTACTCACGCTAAATTTTTCTATTATATATATTTTTGTTACTATTATTAGGATTTGTGTGCAGAAATAAATCATGAATCAAAGTGTTAGAGTTCGCATATCATGAGGCATAAAATGAACCTATGTTCTCTTTGACTCATCATTATTTTATCTACCTTAATTGTTCTGTTTAAGGAATGTGTCTTGAATATATCTACCTTAAGAGTGTTCTTAAATATGTCTTTCAGGAATTGTCAAAATAAAATAAAAAATGCCTGTCATGCTTCTAAAGTTAAGGGCAAGACAATTTCTTTCTTATAAAAACCAATACAGGTTGTTGCTAAACATTGGTAATAAACTTAATAATATTTGTTTTTTAATTTTTATGTAGAAACCTTAAACATCAAATTTTTTTCAATTAGCCTTAAACATCAATTAAAATGAGAATGAGTAAATAAATATCATTCCTTTTCTTTTTTGACAGAGATATATATTATGTATTCTATATGTAAAATTAACTTCATAAAATCATTACTAAAAGAGTTATACAATATAGGAAAATACATACAATGGTGAGAGTAAAATTCCCTACTAATCTTTCCTCAAATGTTTTACTTAACATTACTTGACATATTTTTTTTATTGAACAATTTTGTAAAATAGATATAAACAATAAAACCGAGCATAGTGCGAACAATCCCCTAGTTGATATAAAAGGACGTTAAAAGTTGTTTCCCTTGTAATATATATCTCCTCTTTAATAATTTATTATATTTTATAAATTCTAAGTTATTTAAAATTAGTTTAACGTGAAGTAAATTATTATTTATAACATTATGACATATAAAAAATGATGTGTCATTTTCTGCTTACTCGAAAAATATTAATGTGTCAATAAAGGATATAAACTCATTTCTCTTTTATCCGTTTTGTATTGATTTAATCTTAAATTTTATCTTGTGTAATGTAGAAGCTCACAACCACATGCTAAAGAAAAGAGTTTAAGAAAACGACAGAAAAAAAAAAGTTGGACAAAGATTAGGCTTTATTGCAGTAGACACTCTCACTCGTCTCACTCGTCTTATCTTTTCTTCTCCGATCCTTACTCTCCATCAATGGCTTCTCTTATCTCTTTCTCTTCTCTCCCAAAACCAAAAGCCATAAGAAGTTCAGTTTCAGCTCCTCAGACACAGACAATAACTGAGAGGCTTGAAGATAAATTCGGACGAAAAGGTATAAAATTCTCGGAATCAAATAATAGTCCTATGGTGGAACTTAAGGTCAGAAATGGAAGTTCGTTAAAGATGAGTTTATCAGATGCTCATGTCATCTCATATAAACCAAAGGTGTACTGGAAAGACGATGGATTCGAGGAAGTCCTTTACACAGTTGACGGCGATGAGAGGAGAGGTGGAGTTGGTGTTATTATTGTAAACGCAGAAGAAGCTACTAAACCAAAAGGAGTGTCTTCTTCAGTACTCTCAGGATATGATTGGAGTGTTAAAGATACTGATTCAGACGCCATTGATGCTCTTCAGGTGATTAATTATATATATTAAATCTTGTCTAAACAATGCTGAAATCTTTATGAACGTCATTTTCAGATCGAACTGAGCTGTACGGCCGGGGTGCTCGACATAACTTATATCGTCTCTCTGTATCCTGTAAGCATGGCTACAGCTCTAGTTGTGAAGAACAATGGACGAAAACCGGTTACCCTTAAACCCGGGATTATGAGTTACTTGAGGTTCAAGAAACGAAATGGGGCTGGAATTCAAGGTCTAAAAGGATGCTCTTATTGCCCCAACCCTCCTTTGTCATCGCCTTTCGAGCTATTGTCTCCTTCAGAGGCAATGAAAGCGGACTCTTCTGGTTGGTTTTCGTCTGAAGAAGGAGAGAAGCCAGGGATTTGGGCTGTTGAAGATTCTATGATTACACTTCTTGAGAAAAAGATGAGTAGAATATATGGTGCTCCTCCGGCTGAGAGGTTAAAGGCTGTCTATAACACTCCACCTTCTAAATTTGAAACCATAGATCAGGTAAATCAGTATGGTACCATTCGTTTCAAGATTTGGTATGCAACATCGACTAGGATTTCCTAACACTAACTTTAAATTCAATAAAATCTGATTAGTTTAGAATCTTGCAGGGAAGAGGATTGTTCTTCAGGATGATAAGGATAGGGTTCGAAGAGATATATGTGGGATCTCCAGGATCAATGTCAGAAAAAAATGGGAAGCAAAACTACTTCGTGTGCACAGGGCCAATGTCAATGCTCGTCCCAGTCGAGGTGGCCTCCGGTGAGACATGGAGAGGAGCAATGGTAATTGAGCATGATAATTTGTAAATTTCATTTAGTATACTTTTTTCTTCTTTATTTTATTTTCTCTGTTTTTCCTTGCAAATTTTTTTTTACTCTGTATCTCAAAAACATATTATGACTATACTGGATGTCTAGATCAATTTATACAATAACGAACTTAGATAAAAAAAAATTGATGTCATTTCCTTTTGTCTCAAAGTTATAGAGTTCTAAACCCTCCTCTCACATATAGAGTACTATGCCGTCTTTTCTTTTTTGTCGACTTTATGTGCGAGTTATGTAATTTGGGGATATAACTGAGAAAAACACAAAGAAAGGGTATATTAACATAGATATAACATAGTAGGGAAATAGGAGAAAACATTCATACGGTCTAAATTCATTCGAATCTGCACCCCGAAAGATGAGACATTGACAAATTAATCTTAACAAGGTTGATACCCACACTAAGCGGTGGGATATTTCTTCTATTTTTTTTTCTAAATATTTTTTTGTTTATGTTTTCTGAAATAATTATTTTGTTATGTTTTTTGTTATAAAAATCACTATTAATATAGTTTCAGTATTGATTACTAATATTTTTGTTTTTAGTTCTTTGCTAATATTTTATCTTTTTACTTTTTGCTAATATTTTTGTTATTATTTGTTAATTGTTGCTACATATATTTTCAATATTGTAATCAAATCATAGAATAAAATAAATTTCGTGTATTACATTTTTTTTGGTCAACATTGAAAGAAATCGTGTATTACAATGTTTTCTTGTATTATGCTGTTTTTCGAGCTCCCATAATTAGGATGTTTTTGTCCTGAACGTCTCAAAATCGTTAAATTTCTAAAGTTTATTTCCGTAAGCGTTTATATTTTTGCAAATTTGCAGATTTTGCTGAAATATACATATTAATTTTAAACACTTTTCCTATCTTTAATCTCCAATATAAATAATAATTTGTGTTTAGATTTATATTTATTTGTTTAATTTGAATAATTATTTATTGATTATTTTATATTTTAATTATATTGCATTATGATCATATTCAATTTTATTATAGAGAAATGGATACCAATAACGAAAATGTACATTTATGAAAATATAATAAAGGGAGATTTGCACAACTAACCTTTATTATGATACCCTCTTGTAGAAAAGGGTATCATAATAAAGGTTACTTGTGCAAATCTCCCTTTATTATATTTTCATAAATGTACATTTTCGTGTTTTATATTTTAATAATTATATTACATTTATATTGACCTTTTTGTTTAATTTTTGTTGTGCATGCTAGCTCTTAAATCTTTTGCAAACTACATCTTTTCAACCGTTAAATTACTAATTTAAACTTTTAATACCGCTTGAAAACCAAACTCATGCTTCCGTTTTTTTTATCAATGAAACCTTTTACTTTTTACTTTTTATTCGTTAAATTACAGCTGGAAAAATACTTTTTTTTTATTGGTCAATCATATCTGATGTGTAATAATTGTTATAAATTGATTGGGTTGTTGTTTTAATTGATGTATTAACACATGCTTCAATGAAAAAGCTTATGTATCAACACGGGAGAAAAAGGTTATGTGTCATAAAAATTCTGAACTTTCAAATTTGGGACGATTTAATCCTGAACTTTCAAGAAGTCATTATAATCACAAATTTTCAATCAAATTTTCCGTAAAATAGCTAAGTTTCATTGACCTTGCTGATTTAAGCACGGTGTTTGATTTCTGCTAAAATTTTGAAGACATGGTTAACTATATATGAGCTGTTTCCATTTAGCCTAAACGACCATGTTTTAAAAAATATGAAACGGTGTCAAAATTTGCTTTCTTCCTTCATGGGTCCGCGCCATGGCTACAATTCGATAAGAGGGATTTAGATTTGTGAATTGTAAAGCAATTTGGGGATTTTGTTTCTTCAATTGGTTAACCAACGTCGTTTTGTGATTTAAAAAAGGGGTCATTTAGGTTAAACGGAAGCACCTCACAAACATAGATATTGAACGGCATGCTTAAAGCGGCATAGTCAACGAAACTTAACTATTTTACAGAAAATTGAACATAAACTTTGTGATTAAAATGATTTTTTGAAAGTTTGGGATTAAATCGTCCCAAATTTGAATGCTTGGCATTTTTATGACAATTTCTAGTAATCTATATATATAATGAGAGAGTTCTCTCTCCCTATAAAGTTGTCCACATCAGCATTTTTTTTATATCTAACCAAACAAATAATTGAGACCCAAATACTTATTTCTCATGGCCTGTTTAGTTTGTAATGTAAGGCCCAAATTAAATATTTATCTCTATCCAATTTTCTAAGATTAAGTATATTTCAAATGTTTATTTAATGTATATTTATATACTCATAATTGAAAATTTAATTAAATATAAAACAATTAAACAAAAAAAATAGAATTAAACTAAATAAATAAAATTTAAAATTCCTAAAAGATATATTGTGAAAATGTTATTAGTAATGATCACATTTCCAATGATTTAATGTGTTAATGAGATTTATAATGGAAGAAAAATATTAAATTCATGGTACAGTAAACAAAAATATGATTTGTACATATAAAACTTATAAACAAAAAAAAAATAAAAATGAAATATTAGTTCCACAGAATGATATACTACATAGAGTTTTTATTTATTATTAAAATTCCATTTAAAAATGAGAGAGTTCTCTCTCCCTCTAAAGCTGTTCACATCAGCATTTTTTTATATCTAACCAAACAAATAATTGAGACCCAAATACTTATTTCTCATAGCCTGTTTAGTTTGTAATGTAAGGCCCAAATTAAATATTCATCTCTATCCAATTTTCTAAAATTAAGTATATTTCAAATGTTTATTTAATGCATATTTATATACTCATAATTGAAAATTTAATTAAATATAAAACAATTAAACAAAGAAAAAAAGAATTAAACTAAATAAATAAAATTTAAATTCCTAAAAGATATATTGTGAAAATGTTATTAGTAATGATCACATTTCCAATGATTTAATGTGTTAATGAGATTTATAATGGGAGAAAAATATTAAATTCATGGTAGCGTATAAAAAAAAATTTGGGTAAAAATTAAGTTCTTTTTTTTTGGAAACAGACTTTATATATAAAAATTAAGTTCCCCTGATGAGTAGGTTACAACTTAGCAAAGCTAAGGTATCAGCTTGAAGGTTTTTGTTTCTAGGGACATGATGAAAAGAGATAGACAAGAAAGAGGAAGCATCAAGATGAATATCTGCGACAATGCCTTCAATCTCGTTAACGTGAGCTCCAGAATTGAGAAGAACAACCAGTTCCAAACAGTCCGAGAAGCAGGCCAGTCTGAGGGCACTCGAGGCTTTTGCAGCTTCAACACCTGCAAGCAAAGCCAGTGACTCTGCAATCAAGTCAGAAGTCACTAAGGGTGTAGAGAAAGCTCCCTGGAGCTTGGTAGAGGAGTGGGGGTCATGAATGATCCATCCCATGTCGCCTATGAGATCGGTGACCGACCAGGAGCCGTCTGAGAAGCAAACCCACGCATCAAAATGAACTTCTAGCTCTGCTTCAGTTCTTGGCTGTGGAGTGACGTCGCGTTTCTCTCCTAGTGCCAACTGCCATTGACACGCTTCCCAAATTGTACAGAGGTTGACATCCGCAGCTGAAGTTCTTTCTCCTCAAAGATCAAGCGGTTTCTAGCTTTCCACAGGTACCAGATCAACCAGGGAAACAAAGGAATGGCACCGAGGCCGGTTTGGGGGGGGGGCGGGGGGGGAGGGGGGTAGGTAGGTGACGTCGCGTGTCGGTCGTCGGTACGGAGGGAGGGTAGTGTGTACGT